TCTGTAGAGACCTAATAGAGTGCTGTGTGAATGGATAAATGAGGACACAGATTGTAGTGAAGAGCTTTGAGTGTCCTAGATGATAGAAAGACACTATATAAGTACAGTACATTTAACATTTAAATGAATCTAAGTCAACACAAAGTCCCCATGAGGACACAAGAACAAATATGTGTGTGCAGAGTCTTAGTGATCTAAAATGAGAGACGGTTTTTCCAGTTTCTTTCTTATCAACAAGCAGTAACTATTTCTACCAGAAAACAGGTGTTTCTTCATACTTACACAATCTACAGATGAAAATTACACTAATTCTTTAACTGGTCCTGACTGATCCTTAAGTTTTAACTGATATATTTTAGTTTCTCTTACCATTGTTTGTGGTGTTAACATAGTACCGTCGACCTTGTGGAGACATGTAGCATCGCCACTGAGGAGGAAGAGGGTCTTTGAGGTCTTCAACAGGCAGCTGACTCAGAGATGCTGCTTTCTGTCGACACAGACAAGAGATAAAGTTATAATCATTTTCAAAACGCCTCATCAACTGGGTGTTAGAGCTGAGATGGTTTTATTTCCCAAGTTCCACCTATAAAAGGTAGTTACTAATAATTACTAAAGGACTAATGWCACTACGGTTACAGGACAGAGTTCAGAGTCTGACAGGACCAGACTGAGGACCTCAGGTGTTTCACAACCAGAAACTGATGACATCATGGTAGGATGGGCTGACCTGCTGCTGCCACAAAAACCACTACAAGCTGAAACTGGGCTGAGCTCCACAGATCCAGAATGTGTGGAGAAACAGCTGAGGAGCACGTGGGAGTCTGCAGGAGAACTATGACTTATTAACACCATGTGGAGACCTCCAGATCAAGTTTCTGCTTCAATCCAACAGGGAATTAATGTTTAGTTTGACAAGGTTAGTTTTAGGAAATTCAGGAAAATTCAAAGCAGCCGTTGCAGAATAAATGARATATTTTACCCAACACCAGTCAGACACAGAGAAGACTTTCACCTGTCAACAGACATAATGACGTTTAACTAAACATCGTCTCGATGAGGACTCAGTTTCAAATTTGTTGGGATGTTTGAATGAAAGGAGCGCAGAAACACGCACGGTTCAATAAATCAGAATATTTATGAGCGTATGTACTTTTCCAGTATTTTGTTCTTCAAAAAACTTTGAAATGGACATTTGTTTTGCCATTTGTAAATTGCCATCCATCCATCCATTTTCTGTACACGCTTCTTCCTTTTCAGGGTCGCGTGGGTCACTGGTGTCCATATCCA